GGCCCAGCACACCCCTCATCAGCCGGCTGCCGGGCCGGTTTCTCCTCTCGGGGGTAGCTGTCAACACCCAGGAGGTTATTGAGTGCTCGGGAGAGCCTCCTGCTCGCCAGTAGCGCCGGCGGTGGTTTTGCCCGCGTCCCAGGGGTGCGGAGGCAAGAGCGTGGGGCTGGCAGGGACCCGGACCCGCCAGGTGAGTGTATTGTACAGGCCGGAGTCCGCTGTGCGGGTTGTGGTGCTACCAGCTCTTTTGGCTGAGGCTGTTAGGTCCCTAAGGATACCGTGCTGCTGGGGGGAACGACTGCAATCCTTAATAATAACAACGCAACTGCCACCTTCTGTTTTGGGAGCAGTAGCATCTTGAACTCCCATGTACATACTTCTCTGAGTTCTTCCTCCTTCTGTGTTTGACAGGTGATACTCTAATAGTCGAAGAGGATACATCCAAACCCAAGACTGACTCGCCTGTTGTCGCAAAAAGAACAATGTCTAACTCAGTTAGGGAAGCCGCGCCTGTGCTTGCGAGGAGGGTCGTTCCAGCAGATAACTCCTGTCTCTTCACCAGTGTGTACTATGTGGTGGAGGGAGGCATTTACGACCCAGCCTGCGCTCCAGAGATGCGCAGTCTTATAGCCCAGATAGTAGCAAGCGATCCTGAATCTTACTGTGAGGCAGTTCTAGGGAAAACTAACAGGGAGTATTGTGACTGGATCAGAAGAGAAGAGACTTGGGGAGGAGCTATCGAAGTGTCCATTTTATCCAAGTTTTACCAGTGTGAAATCTGTGTGGTGGACACACAGACAGTCAGAATTGACCGTTTTGGGGAAGATGCTGGTTACACTAAGCGGGTCCTTTTAATTTATGATGGAATTCATTACGATCCACTTGAGCGTAAAATCCTCGACTCGGACATTCCTCCCCAGACGATTTTCTCCACAACCGATGATATTGTTCTTGCACAAGCATTGGAGTTGGCAGATGAAGCCAGACGGAAGAGGCAGTTTACTGATGTGAATCGCTTTACGCTGAGGTGCATGGTGTGCCAGAAGGGACTAACTGGACAAGTGGAAGCCAGAGAACACGCCAAGGAGACTGGACACACCAATTTTGGAGAAGTGTGACACCTGCATGAGGATGGTTACATCGACTACCTCACTGATCCAGAATAAAATTCTGGATTTCCAGATAAGCTGTATGTAATCATAAAATTCCGTTCACAAAGCTTGAAAAGCATATTAACTTAATGATGGCCAAGACGCACAGGTTTGTTATGGTTAGTGACTTTTACAACAGGTTTGAAATAGGTATCTTCTCGCATGCTAATTTATAGTACTTTGGCAGGTGGTATACACTTGCAGCTAAAACTTGATTTCTAAAATAGTCTTTTCTTTGTGATCTGAGCAGACATACAAAATCAGGCTTGTTCAACACTAGCATAAAATCTAGCCTCTAAGTTGCTGAATTAAACTCTGTGTTATGTTTTCAGGGTAATTAAATTAATCTAAGAGTTTGGGAAACACACGTATCAGCATTACTTATACTAAGAATTAGCCTCTGCACATACAAGCAGTTCTGGCAGGGGAAACTGCTCATTTGGTGCACAATTTTTAATGGAAAGAGAATCTCCAAAGCTGCTCTATACTATGTTACCATCAGAAGTAGACTGTATTGTTTGTGTGAAGTCATGGCTTTAGAGAAAGACATGGCCTCTAAGCTTTAAGATAGCCTTCTTTAAATTAATGAGTAGATGGTTAAGTGTTGAATAAACTTACTAATCCTCCGTAGGTAGTCTTTAGTTGCTTCAAAAATAACTATCAACCCCCCGGTGTTTACACTGCATCAGAACATAGGCATGTTTCTTGAAATACTTTGGATTCTTCTTCATAATAGCATCTGAAATTCTGGCAAGAAGAAAATGTAGTTAGGGAGGTGACTTGACTTAACTTACATTTGTTAAATACATTTAAGCAGACTTTACTTGGGTATAGCCAATCTCATGGCCACAGTGTTACTAAGCTGTACCAGATTCCAAATACTGTAAATTAGCACTTTAAGGTATAGTTCTCACTCTGCTGGTAAAAAGTTTTGCCCTTTTTAGAAGGACAGGGTGCTAACCCAGAAGGGAGGCTTGAAGTTTCTTCATCTGTGTTCTGCCTTAATGTGTTTGATTTGTCACCGATGACTGTTCAGTAGCAAGACTTTAATTCTGATAATGAAGAGTGCAGCTTAATTTTCAGAAAAAATAAGCTGTGAACTGCCCTACTTCTTGTACCGTTCAGAATCAGGGAAGTCGAAATTGGTTTAATATATCTTACCTCACAGTGGGGTTGTGAGGCTTAACAGTAAGTGCTTTTGAGGTCTTTTAAAAGGTGCTGTAAAGGTGCATATTACTGAAAGGGATTTTTTTTTTTTCTTTGAAATGCCTGCAACACATACTTGTTTTACTGAATTTTAAAATATTCTTAGCCTGCTATTCGTCTGTTACGCTGTTTTGAGTTACCTTCCTTGCACTTTTACAAATGGGGAGCTAGAACGTGCATCTTCGGACTGAGGCAGGAATAAACAGGCCTTCCAAGTGGAACCTAAGATCTAGTTTATAAAGGCCTCCATTCATTAAGGCATCTGGCTAAACTCCTGGTGCAGCAAAAACTTCTTTTCTATAAAGAGCACGTTTCACTGAAGTTCTTAGCAGAGGCTCCCGGTTGGACCTTGAAATACAGGAGGGTCTTAATGAAGAAGGAATATAATTACATAATTGCTTTGCTGAATTGAGGCATGAATAATTAATTATAAAGAACAGAATCACCAAGAGCACTATGGACCAGTTTTCTTTTTAATTCAGTATTAAAATACATATTGGCACTGTTGGGAATTTCCTGTAGAAAGCCACTTAGCTTCCAGTGTTAAACCCCACTTTGCTTTTAGTTTATCATTAGGGAAAAAAACACAACAAAAACCCCAGCATTAAAACCAGTCCTCTAAGAAGCATATAAACCTAAAGAAATACCTGACAGTTCAAAGGAACTTGAAGATTACACTGTGTTATAACTACTTGAGATGAAATACTGTCTAGGAATGAGACCAAGAGACTGTCAATCCTAAGTTGTATCCTCAGCTTTCACACTGAAGCGGTGAGACGCCTTGGACAAGGAGCTGATCCTCACCATTTGCCATCTATAAAATGGACATAATACCTACCTCAGAGAGGTGTACAAGGTGACTATCTTTGGGTGTCTTGGAAACAGAAGTGGAAGATACGTATTTATTGTCTGCCATGTTTGCAAATGCATTGACTTTGGGGAGCAACACTTAGATTTTAGCTTTGTATCCTGAAAGTGTGTAAAACTTTTTTTTTTTGTTATTTCTTAGTTGCAGGATTTTTAAAATTAGCTTTATGTAATCCAGAGTATTTAGCTTTGCTATATCATGTTTGCATTGGAAATCTGCTAACAGAATCAGTTCCATTTGAGGGGAAATGTGTCAATATCACTGCTTGGATGCTTTCTTTCGTTGCCTAGAAAATAAAATCTCTTTGCTTAAAAAATTTCAGTTGAACTGCTGTAATTCATCTCTGTAAAAGTTGATACTGTTCCACCCTCACAAACTCCTTCAAAGAGCGAGTAACCCGTGGTATGGACTGTGAATCAGAAAACCTTGCATGGTTCTCCTAAACTCTCCCAAGCAGAAAGTATCGACATTATTTAAAATATAAGATATGGATACATTTAAAGTACAACTCCCTTTTTTCTAAATGTTGTAAATGATAGGGTTTTGTTTGCGTTTTTTTTAATATCTCTTTACCAGCATTTGCCTGCCCTTAATGATACAATTAAGGAAGTATCAAAAAAATGGCATCCTGGTACTAGTAAGGTGAACTTCTGAACATCACTAATCCATTTGCACTGAACCGTTGTTAATTGTCCAGCACGATGTTCAGTACGGATATTTTAGAAGAGCGG